CCGAAAGGTGGTGTCGGATCGGTTCTCTGGGCTGGAGGGCGAGGTGCAGTCGTGTGCCAAGGGCTGCATCTTCAGCGGCACATCCTGCATGCACAGGTCGAAGGAGACACAGCGCTGCAAACATGAACTGTTGGCGCTCCGCGCGGATTTCTCGTGCCCGCGCTGGGCGCCCCTGGCGGCGCCTCCGGCGCCGCCCCTGGCGCGCTCCGCGCGCCCGGGAGGAGGGCCCAGCGCAGATCCAAGAAGTCCGCACGGAGCGCCAACAAATTCTGCTTATGGCGTTTTCTCTTCTCCTAACGGGTGCGTCCGGGGCCTGGGCTTCAGCGACGGCTGCACGGACTGCTGGGTCGGGCTGGCGGTCTGCGCCGAGCACGAGTGCGCGCTCCCCTGCACCATCGTTGGGTCGGGCGTGTCCCTCTGCAGGAGGAATATACAACAATAGTAAAACAAATTAGTCGGGGGAGAGTTGTTTTGACTATCCTTGACCATCTGGGAGCACTTTTTGACTATTGATTTTTGATTTTCCATCCAAAGTCCCGCTGGAGGGGGACACGCCCGACCTAGCACCATCGGCGGAGGCCCGTCCTCCGGCAGATGCAAGCGGTGCTCGCTGGACAGGTGCTTCCCGCAGCTGGTGGCCTGCAGCGGGATCCCGCCTGGCGACCTGCCGCCCCCCGAGCTCCGCCTAGGCGGCGAGGTGGGCCCGGCCGGGCTGCGCGAGGGCAGCGGCGAGGAGCCATCCCCGGGGCGTCCACGAGGGGGTCGAGGGCGAAGGGCGTGTCGATACCCTGGCTGGGCCATCTAAAGTCGCCCTGTTTCCGTGGCCCGTTCTTCTGCTTAGCAGTATTCAGTATTCGTATCCTTCTTCGCTGTCTTCTTCTGATGGTTCGTTTTCTTTTTGTTACCCTTCTGACTTAATATTATGATTATTGTCATTCTTATTCTTCTTTCAGCGCGTCCCCTGCCCCGCCCCCCTCGTCCGCAAGTGCTTCGGGCCATGGTGTGCCAACCCCCTCCTCCTGGCCCCCCTCTTGGGCGCACCCGGTGTCACGACGAGCATGAGAAGGAGTGCGCGGCCGTCTGAGACGCACCGCGGGGCCGCGCGCACGGAGGGCCAGGAGCCGACGGAGGGCACACAGCGGGGGCTCTTCCGGCGCCGAGGCGTGACCCGTGGGGCCTGCAGGCCCGCCCGCGCGCGCCTGGAGAAGAGCAGGGGCAAAGGGACGAGGGGATGGGATCAGGGGGGAGGAGGAGGAGGAGGAGCAGGAGGAGGAGCAGGAGGAGGAGGAGGAGGAGGAGGAGGAGGAGGAGGAGGAGGAGGCGGAGGAGAGGAGGAGGAGGAGGAGGAGGAGGAGGAGGAGGAGGAGAAGAAGAAGAAGAAGAAGAAGGAGGAGGAGGAGGAGGAGAAGAAAAAAGAAGAGGAGGAAGAAGAGGAGGAGGAGGAGGACATGGAGGAGGAGAACATGGAGGAGGAGGAGGAGGAGGAGGAGGAGGAAGAGGAGGGGGGAGGCCCGAGGGGCGTCGGCCCTCAATCGACCCCTCGTCTCCCCGACGGCCCACCCCGCCCAGGAGCGTGCCGTTGTCTCCCTCGGGGGCCCTTGGCCGATCTCTCGGCGGCGTAGCTCGCCGACTCCGGCTCGAAAGTTACCCTTCAGTCGGGCACGTCCTTCATCAGGAGGAGTGTGCCAACGTAGTTTTCAAAAGATACCCTGGCGACGATTTCTTTTGACTACCAATGACCATTTGGGAGTATGTTTCGCTTTTTTTTCGGTCCAATCTCCCCCCTGTGGGAGGACATGCCCGACCGAAAGTGACCCCCCCTGAGCCAGTCCCTTTTTTTCCGACGACGAAAACGAACGCGCACATGCTAACGCCGCCAGGGCGATGCATTACGGCCGAAGTAACTCTCGCATGGGGCGGCAGAAGCAGCAACGTACACGTTTCCTCCTCCCCCCCCAAGCCCCCCGTGCAGTAAGAGCCAGTCCCCCCCCCTCTCAGCGCCGCCCCGCGGAAGAGGGCCGGCCCCCCCGGGGGCGTGCAGCTGCGCGGCCGTCGTGTCCGAGAAGTGGGGCGTGCCATTTGGGACGCTGCTGCTGCTCGAAGAAGCAGTGGCGAAGCGTCCTGGCTCGCCTATAGCCCTACCAAACAATGTTCTAAGAGCTTTTTGTGGTCTGCACGAAATGTTCTTAGAACATGTCTGGCGGCGTCTGTCTTGTTTTATCACATCGGGTTTATGTTCTAAGAACATCTTTGGTTTTGAGAGCATTTTTGGGTTCTAAGAACATTTCGTGGTAGGACTATAGGAATGCTGGGGCAGTCAGTCCCTGCTCAATGTTCGAAGAAGAGAGAACGCCATACTCCAAATCCCTTCTTAATCGACCCCCCAAAAAAACACCTGACCCCCCTCCAAATGCAACCTGATATTTCGGACTCCCCTCTGCGACGGGGCGCCTTCATAAACCAGACCCCTGGAGCTCCAATCCAAAGAAAGCAACCCAATAAACCGGACGCCCCCAGATACGAAAAAGTCGCCTTAAAAACCGGACCCGAGAGACGATTAATAAAGGATTTGGAGTAAACATAAATGTTTGGCGTTCCTCGCGGATTTCTTGGATCCGCGCTGGGCCCCCCCCGGCGGCGCCTCCGGCGCCGCCTCTGGCGTGCTCCGCGCGCCAGGGAGGGGGGCCCAGCGCAGATCCAAGAAATCTGCGCGGAGCGCCAAAAGTGTTTATGTTTGTGCAGTTGGTTCTTCTTCTAGCTGTTCTCGCCAAATTGCAGGGCGAGGAATGACGCCCCCTCCCGACCCGTTGGAGCGGAAAGGGCAAGACATGACAGACAGGTGGGCGACGCAACCAAAAAAAGGGGCCGTCTTCGCCGACACTGGCGCGTAAGCTGCCCGCGTGAGGTCCCGCGTAGGCGCCTTCGTCTCCAATGCAGCGTGCCGCGCTGGCGGCCCGCGTAAGCTGTGGCGCAAGGTCTGTGTGTCATCTTGCGTTTGGTCCGTGTTTGATTTCTGTTCAGGTGAAGTGAACGACGAGGAGTGTTCCAAAAAGAAAAATTACACCAGAGAAAAGCCCAATGAGTGGATAGCTTGAAATGAATCGTGGGATCAATAAAGGGATCGATAAGGAGATCGACCTGGAACCCAGGAGCCCAGAACCCACCGAAATCGGCCCGGAACCAATAATACCAGGAACCTGGGAACCCGGAACCGGGAACCCGGGAACCCAGCCGGCTACCAGTATCGGCAGGACATGTTCGCCAAATCTTTCGATATCCGCTAGGACCCCTTCAGTGCAAGCATTGATTGGGGATTTTAGTAGCAAGTTTAGGATCTATAGGCCAACATTATAGCTAATAGCTATAAGTTTGATTTGGCGGGGCCTTTCAGGGGCATTCCGAGGCACCCAGAAGTCTTGCGACGCGCAGGGAGCCAGAGTCCTTGTGTCCATGCCAAGAGCCTGACATAAAGCGAGCGTTGACAGCAAACATGCTTGGTCGCTTTCTCTCGATGCCGTTCGTAAAGGCTAGATCGGCGCCCTCAGAGTATCATATTGGGGTCATGATCGTGGGTTGTCTGAGGGCAGTCAGGAATTTCCGAGAGGCTTAAGCGCAGTCTTGAGCCAATGGAAACCGTTTTCGCTACGTCTGGGCCTGCCTGCAGGCCCCGAGTTGCTAGTTTTGTCCAAAGCGGCTTTCCGCGGCGGCAAAGTCGCCCATAGCCTTGTTTCCTGGACTGGGTGGCAAGTGATGCGTTGCTGGGACTATTCCGTCAAATTAGCGGTTGCGTGGTTGTGCGGTACCAGTTTCGGGCTTGTACAAGATTGGTGCCTCGGAGGGGCTCGATGCATGCACCACGTTGTTTGGCCAGCCTTGGTGCAATGGATCGCAGAGAAAGAATTCGGTACAAATGCGAGGTCTACACACCCCAAGTAAAAAGTCCTGACCTATCGGTCTCAAAAGCTCCATGTCCATCCAAGTGCCCAGCGTTGCCTCACTCGGCCACTTCTCCATGCTCGCGCCCGGGCTGCGCAAGAGAGTGAAGTGGCACCGTCGCCACCCGCCTGGCTGCATCCCGCGCCGTAAGCCTTGTGCGGCTCCGCACCGCCCAGGCGCCGCCCGTGCGCGTGCCCTCAGACCTCTAGCCTCTGACCACAGCACGATGCGAGCGTGCCGCATTCGGATCTCTCGGGGTGAACTCGGCAGGCCAGTGGTGCTAAGGTCGCCCAAGGTTCGGCTGGAACCGAGCAAGGGAACACAGCAGAACATAAACGTTCGGAGCTCCCCACGAGTTTCCCGGATCGCCGTTGTGCTTCCCATGGCGGCACTTCTGGCGTCTTCCTTGGCGCGCTCCGCGCGCCAGGGAGGGAGGTCCAGCGCCGATCCGAGAAATCCGCTTGGACCTGCGGAAATAGATTTTTCTGGCGGCTCTTGTTGTTAAGGTCTTTCTGGGTGAGTTGGGCAGGCCAGTTGTGCTCAGGTCGCCCACTGGACGGCGTGAAAGGGCGGGTCGTTGACGGAAGACCCAGCTTCTGAGTGCTACCTTTTGTTCTTCTTGTTGGGGCTTTCCATTTTGGAGCGCTCCACGTTCGGGGTAGATCCCTGAAGCACCGGGCATTCGGCGCAGGTTTCGTGCGCTTGTCCGACTGTAGCACGGGGGGCCGGCAGGCACGGCAGGTGGGGTCTCGTAGCTGACATGTCAACCCCTGCTGCAGGTTCGCTCCGTGTTGACCTGGCAGCGACGCCAGCGCAGACGTTCACACTTGAACGCGCCAGTGGCCTGGAGTCGGCAGCCATCGAACGATCTGCGCCGTCGGCAAGCCGCGATCGTTGAATGTTGATGGGCCCACGCGGCGGCGGAAACCAGCGGCCACGGCCATCGGGACGTGATTTTGCAGCACATTCGCGCCCCTGGGCTTCGATTCCGCGCCCCAGACATCTTTGGCGGGCGGTTAACTTGTTGGTCCACAGGGGCCCTGCAGTTCTGCTCCGCCCAGGAGCCTCAGGACGCGCCGGGGAGGGTGCCGCTGGCCGCCATCGCCCAGCAGCTGCCCGACGAGGACGCCGCGGCCCTGCAGGGCATCGTCAGGGGGCTGGAGAGCAGCGCGCAGGACGGCACGGTGTCGGCAGCAGAGGTGCTCGGGCGGGGCTGGGACCAGGACACACCGCTGCAGAGCGTTTCTGAGCACTCTCGGGGCGTTCGGGAGCGCTCTGGAACGGCCGCGGAGCCCGACACGTCCTTATAAGAATTCCGCCGGATTGATCAGGGAGCTCGGCTTTTTCTCCCTGGCCTCGTCCCCAGGTGTGGCGGGGGATGCTGGAGCAGGGCATGAAGGTGCCCGAGCACCTGGAGGACTTCCTGAGGGCGGCGGAAGAGCAGCAGGCCTCGTCGGCCCCGCCAGGGCGTGAGCAGCTTGAGGGCCCCCCGCAGCAGCCGCAGGGCCAGCAGGGGGGCCTGCAGGGGCACCCCGGGCAGCCACAGCCGCAGCCGCAGCAGGGGCAGCCGCCGCAGCCGGCGGGGAATCACCAGCAGAGCGCGTCGGTGCAGCAGCAGCAGCAGCAGCAGCAGCAGCAGCCGCAGCCGCAGCAGCCGCAGCAGCAGCAGCCGCAGCATCAGCAGCAGCAGCAGCCGCAGCAGCCGCAACAGCAGCAGCAGCAGCAGCAGCAGCAGCAGCAGCCGCAGCAGCAGCAGCAGCAGCAGCAGCAGCAGCAGCAGCAGCCGCAGCCGCCGCCGCAGCAGCAGCAGCAGCCGCCGCAGCAGCAGCAGCCGCAGCAGCAGCAGCAGCAGCAGCAGCCGCAGCAGCAGCAGCAGCAGCAGCAGCAGCAGCAGCAGCAGCAGCCGCAGCAGCCGCCGCAGCAGCAGCAGCAGCAGCAGCCGCAAGGGGAGCAGCGGATGCAGCAGCAGCAGGAGCAGCAGCATGGCCATGAGCAGCAGCCGGAGCAGCAGAGTGCGCCGCTGCAGCGGCAGGGGCCAGGGCAGGGGCAGCCCCAGCGGCAGGCGCAGCTGCAGCAGGACCAGCAGCAGAGCTTCCGGCGCCTTGCTGCTGAGCCTGGCGAGGGCAGCCCCAGCCGCGAGGTGTACTGGCAGGAGGGTGGTCTGCAGCAGGGGCAGATCCCGGAGCGCCGCCCGGAGCCGCTGCCGCAGTCCCCGCAGGAGCTCGCACTGCTCTCTCACGGGGCCCCCCCAATCAGAAAAACAGTTACCGGGTTGGGAGAGGACGGGGTTGGGAAACATATTCATATATCACCGACCGTTACTACCGCGTACGACGAAGGTGCGTAGGTGCGTGTTACACAGTCGTACCCTGTATCTTCCCAACCCCTCCCTCCCAGCACGATAATTGTTTTTCTTACCCATTCCTCGGCGGCGAGCACAGGGGGAAGTGAGAAGGGGCGGGCCTTCTCCCAGAAGGCTCGGAAGTTCCCTGGTCTTCAGAGAAGTTTTCTAAACCTTCTCCGAAGACGCAGAAAGCTTCTCACTGGCCGGAGGGCTTCTGAGAAGCCCCGCCGCGTGACTAGACGTAGTGTGAGCTTTCGCCGGACTGACCTTTGGTGCGGGCCCAATGAGGCCCCCCGATCGCTGAACGCGAGGCGGTAGCAGCGTCTTGCGCGCCCAGGTTTGGCCACCCCGCGTCCCCCGTGAAGTCGCGCACCAGGGGTCACTCCTGCCCAGGGCAACTCTTACGTGTAGCCGATTCTGAGGAAGCTTTCGGAGCCCTCACTCGCCGCCGAGCCTCGCTCCTGGACATCCGGCCGCTCCAATTTTTGCTATGCGTGGGCCCCAGAGGTCAGGACCACTTCCCCTGGGCCGGTCTTTCGTCCCGAGTCGTTTTGTCACGCCCCCGAGGCCCGGCCATGCCCCCCAGAGGCCAAAACTTGCCCAATTTCCGCCTCTCCAACTTGACCAAACTTGCCCAAACTCCGCCGTGTGGGGGAGTGTCGGGCCTCGGGGCTCGAAGCTCGGAGGTTGACAAGGCCTCCGCCCTCGAGCCGAGGAGCGACGCAAGGCCCCTCTCTTCTGCTCTGCGCTCGACAGAGGGCGGCGAAGCACGCGCGTCTGGCATGCGGGCGCCTGCGCCCGGCGGGCCTGGCCCCAGGTCGCTGACTTGTCCTTACAGGGTGTGTGTTTGCCCCCTCGAGTACACTGCTCACTTCTAATTCTTCGAAAGTTCTTCAATTTTTGGGGGGCCAGGCTCCTTTCATTTCTAATTGTTCTATCCCAGGCCTCTTCCTGGCCACTAGGGGGCCAGGAACAATTATAATCGAGCAAAATTTGACATGAGCACGATTAGAAATGAACGACGTGCACTTAAACCAACATGACGAGAGGTTTTTCACCATTTTCGGCATCTGGGGGCCCGTATCAGGTCTCGGGACCGTCAAAGACGACCCGGCATGAAAAACCGGTCCCGGGGAATGCGTCGAGACTTCGGGGGTCAACGTTATGAAATCGTGACGTTGAGGGTCTGGGAAGGGTGTTTCGGGTTCGGCGAGGGAGGGGAGGAAGTGAGAGGGAGAAGGCCTTCTCAGAAGGGGGCGGGGCTTCTCAGAACCCTTGGCGTTTCCTGCGAAGTTTTCTGCGTCTTCGGGGAAGGCTAAACAACTATTAAGAAGGCCGGGGGACTTCCAAGCCTTCTCTGAGAAGGCCCGCCCCTTCTCACTTCCCCCCCGGGCTCGCCGCCGAACAGGGTGTTTTGGGGGGTAAAGGGGGGTTCTGTCCCCAATCTCCGACGTCTTTTTGACAACGTCGACATCCCGAGGTCAAGACCCATTGCCCAGACCGGTTTTCAAGCCTGGGTCGTGCTCTGGCGGCCCCGAGGTCCCACGATGGCCCCCAGAGAGGCCGAAGATAGCGAAGAACTTCTCGCCGCCATTTCTCCAGGATTCGAGGGGCTCTGGGCACACCGACGACTCGCGCAGCTAAACACGGCGCCAGCAGTATCTCTCTGTCTATATATATATATATGTTCATACACCTGTAATGCTTACACATATGTACATTCTATTTACATGGATATTATATATATATATATATATTTATTCCCTTTTCAATATGTTTACAGCCTGGGGGGGGTGGGACCCCCCCGCTGGGCCGGACCTTCCAGAATCCCTGGCTTCTGAAGCTCCTGGGCGCCCCTGCCGAGGGTCCCATGAGACCTCCGGGCTTCTGGGAGCCCCTGCCAAGGCGTGCAAACGAGCCAGCGGTAGCCCCAAGAGGGTCCAACATGGCCTCCTGATGTCATGGTCCAAGAGACCTTCCAAACGCCCCAAAGAGCTCCAAGGGGAACCCCAAAGTGGGCCTCCAAATCCAACACCTGTGCGTCTCCTAATGGCTTGTGCATTATTTTGGCATTATCGTGCCACCGACGCCCCACGAAGGCTCAAAGGCCCCCAACGTCGCCCCAGGACAACCCATGACGGCCCGAAAAGGCTCCAGACTAGTACGACTACTTCTACGACGATGACGACGACTACTACCACTACTACTGCTATTACTACTTCTGCTGTTACGACTTACTACGACGACTACTATTACTACTACTACTACTACTACTATTACTACTACTACTACTACTACTACTACTACTACTACTACTACTACTACTACTACTACTACTACTACTACTATTACAACTACTACTATCACGAGTATTTCCACTATCACTTCTACTACTGCTACGAATATTTCATCACTACTACTACTACTACTGCTACGATTGCTACCGCTACTGCTACAACTACCACCGCCACTACTACTACTACTACTACTACTACTACTACTACTACTACTACTGCTGCTGCTGCTGCTACTACTACTACTGATACTGCTCTTGCTACTGCTACTGCTACTGCTACTGCTACTACTACTACTACTACTACTACTACTGCTACTACTAGTCCTGCTACTACTAGTCCTGCTACTGCTACTACTACTACTACTACTACTACTACCTCTACCTCTACCTCTACCTCTACTACTACTACTACTACTACTACTACTACTACTACTACTACTACGACAACAACAACAACTACTACTACTACTACTACCACTACTACTACTACTACTACTACTACTACTACTACTACTACTACTACTACTACTTCTACTACTACTATTACTACTACTACTGATGCTGCGACTGCTGCTGCTACCACTACCACTACTATTGCTAGGACTACGGCTACTACGGCTAATATTATTGCTCTCAGTAATACCATTACTACTTCTACGAGTACTACTACCACGACGCTAACCTCTACTACTACAGCTACTAGTGTTACTATTTTTAACCCGTACTTCCACTGCGATCAATATGACTACTACTACTACTACCACTACTTCTCCTGCTACTACTAGTACTACTACTAGTATTCCTACTGTTACTACTACTACTACTACTACTACTACTACTACTACTACTACTACTACTACTACTACTACTACTACTACTACTACTACTACTACTACTTAATTCTTACCAGTACTCGTACTACTAGTACTACTAGTAGTAGATGTACGGCTACTACTACTACTAGTACTACTACTACTACTACTACTACTACTACTACTACTACTACTACTACTACTACTACTACTACTACTACTACTACTACTACCACTACTACTACTGTACGGTTGCTACCATTACTCATATTATGTTTATCTTAACTACTACTACTACTACGACTGCGGCTACGACTACTACTGCGACTACCACCATCGTCACTACTACTACTACTGCTACTACTACTACTACTATTGCGGTTGCTGCTTCTTCCATTTCTACTAGTACGATTCATTCTACGACGGGGACGACTACGACCATTACGACTACTACTACTACCACTACTACTACTACTACTACTACTACTACTACTACTACTACTACTACTACTATTACTACTACTACTACTACTACTACTACTACTACTACTACTACTGCTGCTGCTACTACTGCTGCTGCTACGACTGCGGCTACGACTGCTACTGCGACTACCGCAATCGTGATTAATATTACTACTACTACCACTACTACTACTACTGCTGCAACTACTACTACTGCTACGACTACTACTAATACTACTGCTGCGACTACTATTACTACTACTACTACTACTACTACTACTACTACTACTACTACTACTACTACTACTACTACTACTACTACTACTACTACTACTACTACTACTACTGGTATTGCTACTTCTACTACTACAACTACTACTACGACTACTGCTACTACTACTACTACTACTACTACTATTGCGTTTGCTGCTTCTTCCATTTCTACTTGTATGACTACTTCTACGACGAGGACGACTACTACTACTACGACTACTACGACTCCTACGACGACTACTAGTTCTACTACTACTACTACTACTGCTACTACTACTACTACTACTACTACTACTACTACTACTACTACTACGTGTGCACGGCCTCCACAGGGGCGACGCGCGCTCCGAGAAATCGTTTGGCCATGCCGTTCGGGAAGCGATCTAGTACAGTATGGCTATACGACATGGTCGGGTCGGACGCACGCGTCCAAGGAGAACGTACAGCACTACAGTCAAAAACCCGAATCAGGACGCGCGGCTTTGCTCAGGGTACCCTTGCGTCCTTGCTCTTCCTTGCTCTTGCGTCCTTGACGTTTTCATTGTCCGCCCCTCCAAAAATCCCAACTTCGGCTTCCAAGGGTCTTGCGTCCTTACCGCGCGTCCTTACTAGTGTTATTGACTGTAGCATGTCCCTGTGCGTCCCATGTGACCTGATCCTGCCTTGGAAGGTGCTGCAGACTGTCGTGCCTACGGGCGTCGAGCCGGGGCAGCTGATCCAGCTGCAGACGCCGGACGGCCAGCTGCTGCAGGTGGCGGTGCCCCCCGGCACAGCGCCCGGCGCTACGCTGCAGATCCAGTACACGCCCGTGGTGCAGGTGGCCCGCCTTCCCCCCCCCTCGGGTCGCATCGAGACTCGGAGGAGGAAAAGGTACCTATACTGCTACCCTTCCCTTGTTTTCCTTTTCGTTTTTTTTTCGGGGGGGGGCCTCATGGGAGGCCCTCGTCGCCACCGCTGGATTCGCCTCGAGATCCTGGTTAGAGTGCACCCCAGCAGAGGTTGGGGGAGTAGCGGTACCAGTGCCCCTTGGATTCCCCCATCAAGACGTTCGAAGTTGAAACGCAGAGCAGGGACGAAGGATGGACGCACTTCCTGCTCAGTCTGAAAAGGCTTCGCTGTCGGTGTCGCCGCGGACGTTGTGCACAGTCGCCTGCGCAGCAGCAGCGGCCATTGTCGGTTTTGTACAGCGTTTGCTGTTGGGCATCCTGCCCATTTGGGCGTGCCCAGTGCGGGCGTGCCAGCTGTACCCCGCCTCCTCGGTGCCTTCCCCCCTGTACCTCCCCAGACTCGAAGAAGAGAAAACGCCGTATACATAAACTTGCAGGGCTCCGCGCGGATTCCTTGGATCCGCGCTGGGCTCCTCCGGCGGCACCTCCGGCGCTGCCCTTGGCGCGCTCCGCGCGACAGGGAGCGGGGTCCAGCGCCGATTCAAGAAATCCACGCGGAGCACCAAACGTTTATGTATGTGGCGTTTTTAGGGGGCCACATGCGAACCCTACCCCTACCCCCCACGACTTCTGAGGGGTAGGGTGGGGTTCACTTCGTTCGGGAGCTCCCGAGCGAAGTGAACCCCACCCTCTCCCTCAGAAATCGTGGGGGGTAGGGGTAGGGTTCGCATCTGGCCCCCTAGTTTTCTTTTGGCGGACGTGCTGGCGATGTTAAAAGCTTGACGGAAGGTGCTTGGCCATGTTCCGCCTTCGGGGGTGCCCTCGCCAGGCCCAGGGAGCGTAAAAACAACGAGTCGGGAGAAGGCGCCAGCCTCGGGAGAAAGATCCTGACCTCCGAGGGCCCCGTGCTGAGGCATGCAGGACGTCAGATGTCTGGGTCGCCTCGGCCCCCCCCCTCCGGGACTCGTTTCTCACCGCCCACCAAACCACCCCAACCCAACCCGAAGGGTTGCGATGTTCCAACCTACTTTAGCTCTGATAACCAGAAAGCGTTTCGAGCACCTAGAAAATACCAGACCTTGCGTGTTTTCACGTGTCGGGCCCTGGGAGGCGACCTTCGTTCGACATTGTTTCGACACTTTTGCGGGTGCTCGAAATTATTTGTGGGATGTGGTGGTCCTCAAGTACAATGGGAGCAACATAACCGAAGGCCTCAATCTGCCCTCCATTTCAGTGGGGGGGGGGGGTCGGGGAACATCGAGCAAACACATGTGGAACCCGTACCCCCCCCCCAACCCGACGTTCGGGTCTTCGGGTTGGTTTGGGGTGGTCTGGTAGGTATTCCGACCGATCAGATCTACAGTCGGGGCGCTGAAGAAGGAACCCTTTGCGTTGGGGGGGGGCTCGGTGTTCCTCAATTGTTCCACACCTCGCCTAAGGTTTTCCTCCTCAAGTTTTCGATCGGAAGTCGAAGTTTAACTTATGGAAGAAAGGGGCCTCGTTCCTTATTTAGGGTTCCTTCGGTCAACGCCTCGACTGCATCTGGCGGGATCCCGATGTTCGCGCGAATGCGGTGCGGCCCGCGGCGCCGGTGGCCCGCGCCCCTCCCCCGGTAGCGGCGATGCTTGGCCCAAGCCTCCAGTGAGGAGGAGGAGGAGGAGGAGGAGGAGGGGGAGGAGGGGGGGGAGGAGGAGGGGGAGAAGGGGGGGGGAGGAGGAGGAGGGGGAGGAGGAGGAGGAAGGAGGAGGAGAGAGGAGGAGGAGGAGAGGAGGAGGAGGAGGAGGAGGAGGAGGAGGAATGCACTGAAGGGGTCCTTGCGGAAATCGGAAGGTTTTTGGTGGCCGGCTGGGTTCCAGCCGATTTTGGTGGCTTCTGGCTGGTTCCGGGTTCCCGGGTTTCTGGGCTTTTGGTCGATCTCCTTATCGGTCTTTTTTTGATCGATCCCATTTCAAAGCATCCATTGACTGGGCTTTATCTCTGGTGTAATGTTTTTGTCAAAATCCTGGCGGGTGTTCCTCGATTTCGGCCGTCGGGGGATGCTCTCGGGCCCCTGGGCCGTCGACAACTTCATATCTCCGGGTCACAACCCTCAGCGAGTGGGTCGGGACCTCTGGTGCCGCGGAAGGAAGAAGAATAGATCGGCAGATGTCAGTCGGGGAGCGAAAAGTGGCATAAAGATCAAAACTCGGAGGTCCGCGCGGATTTCTCTGATCGGAGCTGGACCCCCCTCCATGGCGCGCGGAGCGCGCCAGGGTCGGCGTCGGAGGCGCCGCCAGGGGGGGCCCAGCGTGGATCCGAGAAATCCGCGCGGACCTCCGAATTTTCATGTTTATGTCATTCTTCGTTCCCCTAGACCTCTGGTGCAGCGGAATGAACAAATAGATCGGCAGATGTCAGAGGAACGATCCTTGGCTGGGGTGCTCCTTAGGGAGGGCCCACAAGGGCAGGGCTGGACCTAAACGCTGTTTTGCTGGACTTAGGCTGTGTTTTGCTTTTCGTTTTGGTAGGGAGGTACAGGACAACGGGTAGAGCAAAACGTAAACAAAACGGTAAACAACGTCTAGGTCCAGCCCTGTGTCAGAGGAGTGACCCTTCGCCGGGGTGCTCTGTGGAGCGGGCCCACATGGGTCTCCAGCAGCGCCGGCATGTGCGCTTTTGGAGTTGCCCCCCCGCGGCCTGCTGGAGCCGCGCCTCGAAGGTCACGCCTACCCAGGGTCACTCGTGGGCGTGGCCGACTGCACCTCGCCTCCGCCCCCCTGTTGTTGATTCGGGGGAACGTAAGACTCGAGTAAGCTGGAACTCGGGTTTGCCGACGCTCTTTGACGAGCGCGACCTGGATTTGAAAGACCCAGTTGTCGTGGGATGGTTGCAGCGGGAGCTCGCGTCAAATTTCAGATTGGGCCTCGCCATTTTTTATGATGACCCTTTCAGGCCAACCCGAGTCCCCCGTACCCGAGTCTTACGTCTCCCCGATTGATGGGCAGGATTCGCAGGCGACTCTTCCCTCAAGAAGCCCAAAACGCATCAACATGAGCTTTTTGAGCTCCGAGCGGACTCCTCGGATCGGCGCTGGGCGCCCGTGGCGGCGCATATGGCGCCGTCTCTGGCGCGCTCGCAGATTCAAGAGATCCGCGCGGACCTCCGAACATGTATACATACATAGATACATACATAGATACATGCATATATGTGTATGTCTATGTATGCAGGTTTTTTGTTGTTCGGTCATCACCCTCCCTCCTCTTCCTCCTCCTCTCCCTCCTCCTCCTCCTCCTCGTCCTCCTCCTCCTCCTCCTCCTCCTCCTCCTCCTCCTCCTCCTCCTCCTCCTCTAACTCGCCTCCGCCCCGCTTCCCTGCCCATCTCGCTCCGATTCGGTCCCAGCGTTCTCCCACGGCCCGGTGCGGCCCGCGGGGATTTTGTCTGCCGCCGTTGGCCGTTGTGGGCACGTCCTGGCGCGGCCGCTCCGCCGCGGTGTTGCGTTCCGTGCGGCTGCAGGCCGATCCTGATGCTTGGCATCGCTCGGGCGTGTGCATTTTTCCTTCGGCGAGGACCATCGAGGAGCATCCTTGATCATCTGGCGAAAAGACCACGCACGAAACCGAACAAAACACTGGGAATGGACGTCCGAGCGATGGCCAGGATGGGCTTGTTTTCCACCACCACCACCATAAGTTGGAGGGGGGAAGGAGGACGAGAAAGAGGAGGACGAATAGGAGGAGGCGGAAGACGTGGAGGAGGAGGAGGCGGAGGAGGAGGAGGAGGAGGAGGAGGAGGAGGAGGAGGAGGACACCCTCCCCCTCCAACTTGTGGTGGCGGTGGGTGTGGTGGATAACAGGCCCGTCAGATCCGACGCACACTCCGATTCGGTCCGATTTCCTGATCCAGTTGTGATTCTCAAGCAGTGGCGAAGCGTCTCGGCGTGCCGATATAGGCGGCTTCCGCAACAACTGTTCTCAGAACAGGTCTGGCTGGGGCTGTCCTGTTTTAACACATCGAGGAACATTTTTGGGTTCCGAACACGTGTCGTGGTGGGCCTTCTGGGAATGCCCAGACGGTCGGCCCCTGCTCAAGATTCAGCGAGGGCCACATGTCCACACCCGATGCCTACCTGGTCGTTGCTGGCCCCTCCCTGCCCCTCCCTGCCCCTCTCCTCCGCCGTGCCCTGCTCCTCCGGCTCTTCTCGCTCCTCCAGGTCCTCTTGCTCCAGCGGCTGCGCCTCCACCTCCCTCCGCACCGCCCCTCTCTTCAAGCAGCTCATCCTCCTGCTCATCAGCCACCTCCCCCTCCTGCTTCAGCCTGCAAAGCTCGCTTCCCTGCTTGCGCACCACGCCGTAGGGCCAACCATCGTGGGGAGCAGTGTCCTCGGGGACACCCCTGTCGGTGGACAGTGAAATGATTTCAGCGAGGTGAGAGCGGGAAGGGCGGGAAAGGCAGAGCTCGGAGATGGCGCAATCGCACCGAGCGTGCACCCTTCTCTTCTGCCTGCCACCGTCCAGCTTCCCTCCTCTCCGTCCATCCCTCCCCTCCATTCCATCGGCTACAAAATATGACAGTCTGACTACTGTCTTCCTCTCTTCCCCAGGGACGTGTTGACAGCATCGCGCCCCCCTGCGCGCACTGCGCCTTTGCTGCTTTTCTGCACTGGATGTTGAAAAGTCGATATTTCGCATGTGTCTTTCCGATCAGAACGTGCCTAGCCCCTGCAGAATGGTTGCTCCGCTGCAGCATGGCCTTCGTTTCCACGTTCTCGTTCCTGCAAAATGGCTTCCCCGTTGCAGCATCGGCCTCGTCTCCGCGTTTTCGGTCCGTCTCAATGGTGCTCCCACTGTAGCGTTGGCCTCATCCCTCGTCGTCGTCGTTATCCGGGTCCTCCTTCATCCTCGTCTTCGTCGTTGGTCGGTGGGATGACACTCGGAGTTCATGACCAGGGAAGGGCGTGCTATTCCCCGATTCGGCTTGCTTGCGAGGTTCTATCTTGCGCCAGGGGGAGAAACGCGACCTGAGCTCCTATGCCTGGCTGGTTCAACCTGACTTTGTCGCGTTTTCTCGCGCAAAGCGTCGTGCTACATTTTGAAGTGCCATGCCATGGCATGTAATGCATTGCCATGCGATGTACCACTAAGCGATGCCATGCCTTGCTCTGCAACGCCGTTATGTGCAAAACCGGGCTACGCACCGCCATACCATGCTGCAGTATGTAGTGCCATGGCATGGCATGCGTCGCGGTGTTATGTTGTGTATGGCTATGCGATGCCATGCCTTACAAGGCACTGCTATGATATGTAGCGCTTGACTATGCACTGCCACACCATGCTATGCCATGCTACGTTATGTCGTGCTCTTCTTTGCCATGCTATGCCATGATATCATGCGTGTTTGCTTACAACCTTTTGGGATCAATGCCATCGTCGATACCCGACCATGCGAAGAGGGAGTGGCTCCTGATCAAAACGGTAAGGTATAGGAGGGAGGGGTAGGACGTCACATTTGGCGCGAGCGCATTTTGTCTGCCTCCCTCCTCCCTCTCGTCTCCCTTCTCCCTCTCCTCCCTCCTCCTCCTTCTCCTCCTCCTCCTCCTCCTCCTCCTCCTCCTCCTCTTCCTCCTCCTCCTCATCATCATACTCATCATCACCATCACCATCAACACCATCTCCCTCTCCTCCGTCCATCTCCTTCCCCCTCTCCCTCCTCCCTCCTCTCCGCCCCCCCTCAATCGTCGTCGTCGTCGTCGTCGTCGTCGTCATCGTCGTCATCATCATCATCATCATCATCATCATCATCATCATCATCATCATCATCATCATCATCATCACCATCACCATCACCATCACCATCACCATCACCATCACCATCACCATCATCAGCAGCAGCAGCATCATCACCACCATCCACATCATCTCCCTCTGCTCCGTCCATCCCCTCGCCCTCTCCCTCCTCCCTCCGCTCCGCCCCCCCCCCTTGCCGCCCCCGCCGATGCCGCGATCTCGCGGCCGTTGTCGCCGCCGTCGCGGCCTCCGCCACCCGGGCAGGCGGCACCGGCGGCGGCGGCCGGCGAGGACGCCCGGTGGGGGGGGGGCAGGGGGCGCCCAGGCGCAACGTGAGGGGGGTGGGTACGGGCTCAGGGGGAGCCTTGTGGTCTTCTTCCCCCTCTTCTCCTATCTCTCGCTTGTGCCTGACACAGCCAGTCTGGCTTAGACGACCACCTTCGGTGGTCCAGGAGAGGGGTAGGCGTCTCCAGGTGCCCACCCAGAGGAAACGCACCCACTATCCCTCTCTCCCATGGCCCGTTTCAATGGTAGCCGGAGCGTGGGCACAGATGGAGAGCAGGGACACGGAGATGGTGGCGTTCAGGCGCAACTTGAGGGTGGGGGGGGATGCGGGCTCAGGGGGGGCGTGTTTTTCGTTTGGTTGATTCAGGCAGGTTTACTTGCATGGCGTTCCCCCCCCCCATCGCCCCTCCTCGATCGAGCACGAGCGTGCAGGTGCCTTTCGACTGGCGTGATTTCCGCACGTCGAGTCAAGTCGTTTGCGGCCTGCTTCAGGTTCAGCCCCCCCCCCACCGTCCCTGCAAGTAAACTTGCCAGAGGATGAAAAACAGGCTCCCCGTGGGGGGGGGCCCTCAGGCGCAACGTGAGGGGGGTGGATACGGGCTCAGGTGGGGACGCATGGACTGATCGCCGATCGTCGAAGACGAACAAATGCCTTAAACATAAACTTTTGGCGCTCCGCGCGGATTTCTGGGATCCGCGCTGGGCCCCCCCCCTGGCGGCGCCTCCGGCACCGCCCTGGCGCGCTCCGCGCGCCAGGGATGGGGGCCCAGCGCGGATTCAAGACATCAGCGCGGAGCGCCACAAAAGTTTATGTTCATGCAGTGTTTCTCCTTCTCGCATCGACCGATCGTCGATAGGCGAAGAAGCGCAGAGATGGACTCAGGTGCGCGGATTGGCGGCGGGTCCCGCTTCCATGCAGAGTCGGCGCGGTCCGTCACCAGGTCAGGCGGCGTCGGCGACACGTCTCTGGGGTGCCTTGGTCGGAGCCACAGGCCTGGCGCAGGCGTGCCAGATCCCTCGGCATCGCTCGGACGTGTGCATTTTTTCTTCGGCGAGGACCATCGAGGAGCATCCTTGATCATTTGGCGAAAAAGCCACGCACGAAATCGAAAAAAGCACAGGGAATGGACGTCCGAGCGATGGCGAGATGTCAGCGCGTGCCCGAGATGTGGGCCCGACAGCTCCACCCCGGCCAGGAGCGTTCGCCACGGCGGGGGCGTTCGTGAAGGATCGAGGATCGAGGATCGAGGAGGAGGAGGAGGAGGAGGAGGAGGAGGACGAGGAGGGGGAGGAGGAGGAGCGTGCCCAGGAGGCTGCAGCCAGGATTCCTTATCTGATGAGGGCGGCGGTGCTGTCCATGGCCAGGCCCCGATGGGCTTTCCGCTGGCTTCCAGGCCCTGGATCCCCTATCCACTGCCTTCCTTATCCCATACCCCCACCGTGTCGGGGGCCAATCGACGATGTTTCGCCGATTCCACGTCGACACTCCGCCCCCCCCCCCCGCAGAGCCAGTCCCCCCTGTGATCGTTGCCCCGTATAGCCGCGCGCGAGCTGGCTCGGTGCTCGACGACAACAAAACGGCGTGTAAACGCAAGCTCGCCGAGCTCCGCGCGGCTCCCTGGGATTGGCGCCGGGACCCCCTCCCTGGCGGAGCCCAGCGCCGGTCCAAGAGATCTGCGCGGACCTCGGAGAATGCGCGTGCTTATGGAGAGATGCTTGATCTTTGTTTTTTGTTTTGGTTGTGGCAGGGGCGCTTAAAGTTCCAGGTGAAGAGAGCGAGGGATGGACACATGTTGGTCGTTGAATGTCGGTATTTTGGATTCCCAGATTCTAATCTACTTTACCGCCTTCCTACTTCAATGATCGAATGGCTTCACCTTTTTCCGTCCTCCTCAGAAGGCGGACGGAACCCCATCTATTTTCAACGCCTTCCTACTTTGTATGTCCACCTACTTCTTCCGACCGATGGGTAATTAGTCTCGGCCCACGGCTGCAGTTCTCTCGGCTGACAGTGCCCCCGTGTGTGGGGACCTGAGCCGCAGCGGCGCCGCGGCGGCGCCGTCGCCGCCGTCGCGAGCCCCCTGCGGTGGCAGCCGAAGGGGCGGTACAGAATAGGCTCCCGCCGTCGAGGGCGCTGGTCCCAGGCTGCCGGCAAGCGTTTGCCGCGTGTAGGTCCTCCTCCTCGAGGTCCTCCTCCTCCCCCTCCTCCTCCCCCTCCTCCTCCTCCTCCTCCTCCCCCTCCTCCATTCTCTTCCTCCTCCTCCACCTTCTCCTCCTCCTCCTCCTCTCTCCCTCCATCCTCCTCATCCTCATCCTCATCCTCATCCTATCCTCATCCTTCCTCCACCTCCTCCTATCCTCCTCTCCTCCTCCTCTCTCCTCCTCCTCCTCCTCCTCATCCCCCCCTCTCCTCATCTTCTCCTCCTCCACCTTCTCCTCCTCCTCCTCCTCCTCCTCCTCCTCCTCCTCCTCCTCCTCCTCCTCCTCCTCCTCCTCCACCTGGGGTCGCCTACGGCTCGGGGAAGCCGTGCACGTGGATGGGTCAGGACATGCCCTGGCTCACCAAAGAGTCCCCGTTCACGGGGCTTTGGGGCCTCGAGTTTTGCTCTCCGAGCGCTGCCGCGGACGAAGCCCCCCCGACTCGGCGGCACGCCCGGGGGTGATGTGAGAGGGGGCAGGCCTTCACAGAAGGCGGCGGGGTTTCCGAGAAACCCTCCAGCCTTTGAGAAGCCCCCTCTGAATTCCCAGACCCCCTCGAGCAGTGACAAAATCATGACGCAAGATTTTTCCTCTCGATCTCTGGGGGCCCTTGCCGGGCCTCGGGACCGTCAAAAAGCGACTCGGGACGACAAGCCGGTCCCAGGTAAGAGGTCGAGACCTGGGGGGTCGACGTAATGAAAAAAACATGACGTCGGGGGTCTGGGTTCGGCGGACGGTCAGGAAGCTTCTCAGAAGGCCGGAGGCCTTGTAAGAAGGCCTCCTGAACCTTCTTGAAGTGCCCGCTTTTCTGCCTTCACCCTGCGCGCTCCAACAGGTTTTGAGCTCCGATTTGCCATGCCATGTCGTTTCTTGACATCCCTGGGCCCGGCGAGGGCCCCTATAGGCCGAAAGCGAAGAAAAAACGTCGTCCTGGCTTTTTCAATATGATACGTTCCCGTCGTGCCGACTGGCGGACTAACGCCGCTGGCAACCCAGGATCGGTCGAGTTGAACGATCGGACGCTTCGGAAACGGCCGATCGTTCCAGGCTGAACGATCCCCGCGGCGTCAGGAACCAACGCCAGGGTCGACACGACACGAACCTGCCGTGCATTGGAGGTCTCGGGATTTTTTACTCTCCGACCGCCGTCGCCGGCGGAGCCCCGCCGCCCGAAAAGGGACCCTCTCTTGGGCCCTGAAGGGGCCCTTCAGGGCCCAGAAGAAGGCCTTCAGGGCCCGAAGCGGGCACCTTTCTTGCCCCCCCGCTCGTCGACCCCGAAGTCGTGATTTTTTCCTGACGTCGACCCCAAAGGTTTCGACCCCTTCCCCAGGACAAGCTTTTCATCCTGAGTCGATCTGTGACGGTCCCGAGGCCCGGAGAGGGCCCCCAGAGGCCGAAAATGGTGAACAAAAATCCCGTTGCGTTCTTTTCATTGCTCGAGGGGGTCTCGGCTTAAGTCAAGTCCGCCCCTTCTACAGGAGGAATATATATATATATATTATATATCATATAATATATTATATATTATATATTTAACACTCTGGGGACGAGCGGCGATTGCAGCATGTTTTGAAACAAATGTGAGTCTTTTGGGGCGTATCTGCTTTATTTCGTCCCAAATCCCCCCTCTAGGGGGACATGCCCGACCTACGTCTGGGCTCGTCGACCCCCGCATGGGCTCGCGCCCCACTGTGGGCACGAGCCCCAACCGGAGGAGCCGCGCGCCGGGAGGCCGCGGCGGAGCCCGGAGCGCCGCGGCCGGGAGCCGTCAGCGGCCTCGCCGCTGGGGGTCGGGGGCGCGGGGCCCGGGGCGGCGCCGCGGCAGGAGCGGCCCTCTCCTCCTCCTCCGCCTTCTCCCCTCCTCCTCTCCTCCTCCTGCTCCTCCTCCTCCTCTTCCTCTTCCTCCTCCTCTCCTCTCCTCATCCTCCTCCCCGCCTCCTCCTGCTCCTCCTCCTCCTCGCCCCTCCTTTTTTTCTCTCCTCCTCTCTCCTCCTCCTACCCCCTCCTCCTCCCCCTCCTCATCCCCTACTCCTCCGCCCCTTCTCCTCCTCCTCCTCCTCCTCATATCATTCCGTCATCGTCACGTCGTCATCATCATCATTCATCCATCATCATCATCATCATCATCATCACATCATCTCATCACCAATCATCATCATCATCATCATCATCATCATCATCATCATCTTCATCTTCATCTTCATCATCATCATCATCATCATCATCATCATCATCATCATTATCATTATCATCACCATCATCATCAGCAGCAGCAGCAGCATTATCTTCATCATCATCATCATCAGCAGCAGCATCATCTTCATCCTCCTCCTCATCATCATCAGCATCATCCGTCATCGTCATCATCATCATCATCATCAGCATCATCAGCATCATCATCGTTATCATCAGCATGATGATTATCAGCATCAGCGTTATTGTCATCAGCATCATTATCATCACCAGCAGCAGCAGCAGTAGCATCATCATCATCATCATCATCATCATCATCATCATCATCATCATCATCATCATCATCATCATCATCATCATCATCATCATCATCATCATCGTCATCATCATCATCCCCCCTCCTCCTCCTCCTCCGCCTCCTCCTCCTCCTCCTCCTCCTCCTTCTCCTTCTTCTTCTCCTTCTTCTTCTCCTTCTCCTCCTCCCCCTTCTCCCTCTCCTACCTTTTGTAGCGGTGGTGGAACATCGGCCCATCAGGTTTATCAAAGTCCCCGTTCCCAGAACCCCGACGTCGTCCCCAGACCCCATCGAGCAACGACTCTTCGTTGCTCGAGGGGGTGTTCGTCATTTTCGGCCTCCGGGGGACCCCCTGGCCGGGCCACGCAGGTCCGCCAACGAAAAACGACTCGGGAGGAAAAGCCGGTCCCGGGGAACAGGTCGAAACCGTTTGGGGTCGACGTCATGAAGGAATCATGACGTCGGGGGTCTGGGGATGCAGATGGGTACAGTCAACGCGCATAGTAAGGACAGACGACTTTTTCAAGGGTGCCCTTGGGTCCTTGCCTGCCTCAGCCTCTGCGGCCCGTCCCTAGCAATTTTCGCAGGCCAGTTTCTCAGGGTTCCCTCGGCTGCGCGGCGGCGCGTTCCCTTGAGGATGCATTCTAAGGACGCGGGCTGTAGTTACACGGAAACCAAGGGCGTGGCAGACCGACAGCAGTCCGTGTGCAGTTTGGACAGGGCTCCAGGCCTCCCGGATGGAGTCGGAGTAGGTGGGGTCGGAGGATCGCGCCGAATCGCTGATGCATCGCCGATGCATCGCCGATGCAGCTCGATGTGGAGCCCGATCTTCTTCACGCCAACGGCGCCGATGCATCGCCGACGTCGCCGATGCATCGCCGATGCATCGGCGATGCAGTGCGATCCTCCGACCCATCCACTCGGACCCCATATATGAGGCCTCTAAGGACTCGCTGTCCGTGTCGCCGTAGACGTTG